AACTAGCCCACGTACAAGTCAGAGTCCTGGGTTCTTAATCTGGCTAAAGTCTATCCAAGCCTCGTTCAGGTGGAGTTTCTATCCCCCACCTCAAGAATAAGTTCAAATACATCACAGCCTTCCCATAGTAACCTTATGCAATCCATTGGCAGCTTTAATTAACTCTGGGCGGCTAAATTCAATCCACTTTATGTATCCTTTAAATTATATGTATTCTTTATATTAAAAATTGAACCAAGTTTCTATAGCAGTAACCAGAATGATAGGGTTTGAAATTCAGCTGAGAGATAATTGTCTGGAAAGTCTCTGTTTGTAACAGGGTCGTGATAATAAATGATGTGGAGTTTCCACTTGAAAAAGAAAGATATTTTCCTAGGAAAGTCCAAAAATTAGTAGTCATCATTAAAAGAATATAAATATCTTTTATATCTTTGGGACAGGAAAGGAAACATGGTGGGGGGGTACCTTGATAAACTTCAATAGAAGGTTATTGAGACAGGACTAGAAGCAGACAATAAAACACAATGGAAGATCATCCGAAACAAACATTCATACATGACTAAATTCACCTCTTAAAAATATAGTATCTGTGAGTTTGAATTTCTAAAAAAAAAATGATGAATCTTTCCTACCTTAATCACACATCTTAAAATTTGGCAAAAAGCTAAAATAAAGAGAAGGATAAAGCGACGTGAGGCAAAATAGTAAGCTAAAGAAACTTCATGTCCCTATGCTGCTCTCAGAAGTAAAAACAACCTACCATCAAAATAAGAGTAGGGGCACCTGGGTGGCTCAGTTGGTTGAGCGTCTGTCTTCAGCCCAGGTCACGATTTCACGGTTCGTGAGTTTAAGCCCCGCGTCGGGCTCTGTGCAGACAGCTCGGAGCCTGGAGCCTGCTTCGGATTCTGGGTCTCCCTCTCTCTCAGCCCCACTCCTGCTCATGCTCTGTCTCTCTCTGTCTCTCGAAAATAAATAAACAAAAAAAAATTAAAAAAATAAAATAAAAAGATCAGTAGAGCAAGGTTTTATGCACCTAACCACTTAGCCTTTAAATGCACTGACTAGGGGCACCTCGGTGGTTCAGTCAGTTGAGCATCTGTCTGACTTGATTTTGACTCAGGTCATGATGCCAGGGCCAGGGAATTGAGCCCTGGGTCGGGCTCCACGTTCAGCGCAGAGCCTGCTCAAGATTCTCTCTCTCTCTCTCTGTCTCTCTCTCTCTCTCTCTCTCTCTCTCTCCCCCTCTCCCTCCCTCCTTCTCCCCTCCCCCTGTCCCTCTCCCCCACTCACACTTGCTCTCTAAAATAAATAGGGGCACCTGGGTGGCTCAGTCAATTAAGAATTGGACTTCGGTTCAGGTCATGATCCGACAGTCTGTGTGTTTGAGCCCCAGTTTGTATATTCAAGCCTGGGCTTTGTGCTGACAGCTCAGTTCCTGGAGCCTGCTTTCAATTTCAATTCTGTCTCCCTCTCTTTTTTTCTTAAACTTTTTAAAATATTTATTATATATTTTTAAGAGAGAAAGAGACAGAGCATGAGCTGGGTAGGGACAGAGAGAGAGGGAGACACAGAATGTGAAGCAGGCTTCAGGCTCTGAGCTGTCAGCACAGAGCCCGACGCGGGGCTTGAACTCATGAATGATGAGATCATGACCTGAGCTTAAGTCGCATGCTTAACCGACTGACTCACCCAGGCACCCCGTCTCCCTCTCTTTCTCTCTGACCCTCTCTGCTTGTCCTCTCTCTCAAAAAAATAAATAAATAGGGGCGCCTGGGTGGCTCAGTCAGTTAAGCGTCCGACTTCAACTCAGGTCACGATCTCGCGGTCCATGAGTTCGAGCCCCACATTGGGCTCTGGGCTGATGGCTCAGAGCCTGGAGCCTGCTTCCGATTCTGTGTCTCCCTCTCTCTCTGCCCCTCCCCCGTTCATGCTCTGTCTCTCTCTCTCTCAAAAATAAATAAAACGTTAAAAAAATTTTTTTTAATAAATAAATAAATAAAAATAAACAATTTTTTAAAAGTTTAATAAAATAATAAATAAATACACACAGTAAAAAGTAACAGAGGGGCACCTGGGTGGCTCAGTCAATTAAGCATCCAACTTCAGCTCAGGTCATGATCTCACGGTTCATGAGTTTGAGCCCCACATCAGGCTCTCTGCTATCAGCACAAAGCCTGCTTTGGATACTCTGTCTCCTTCTCTCTCTGCCCCTCCCCTGCTCTCTCTCTCTCTCTCTCAAAAATAAGTAAACATTAAAAAAATTTTTTTTAATGTAACAGAGACACAATAAAAAATTGGCAAGTCCATGATCGGTGGAAAAATTTAATAGAATTCTATCATAAAATGATTGCTCTAGCAAATAACATTCAAAAGGATGCTGAAGGTTCGAAGAACACAATTATGAAAGATACGTACAAAACAAACTAAAGGGTGACATATGGCTATTTCAAGCATACATGGAGTATTTCCAAATATTAAAATATGCTGAACCACCAAGGAAGTCTCAAGGAATTTCAATGAAACAATATCTTACAGAGCAGTACTTCCTCAGACTATAGCATGATCAAGTTAGAGACCAAATATTAAAAAAACCACTAAAACCAAAGAAATGCAATATTGTAGGGGCTAAGTAGGGGATCCTAAGTAACATATCTTGTCTGTAGCTGTATTTACATTTCATAGCAAAACTAAAAAAAAAAAAGGCAACAAATAACACACATCAATAAACATTTACGGCTGGGATGTGTGGGGTAGTTTTTAGGTGGTTCTGCTGATCTTGGATAAGTTTTCTCAGATCTCTGGGGTCTGGCTGGCCGTCCTTTGATGTCGGCTACTCTAGACTCGGATGACTGGGATGAGTCCGCTGTTTCATGTGCTTTTCATCCCAGAGGCTAGCCCAGGTATGCTCTGATAGCAATGGCAGAGCCACAGGAACAAGAAGATAGATTCAAGGTCTCATAAGGTCTAGGCTCAGAACCGGCACAATTCTGGTAACAGAGTGCTCCCATCCCTCTCTACAGTCAAAGTTATCCTGCCCTCAAGGAAGGAACTCCAGAGTTCTCAGACAAAAGGTATGGACAAAAGTAGAGGTGAAGAATTGGAACTTCTATGTTGAATAGGAGTGGTAGGAGTGAGTGCCCTTGTCTTGTTCCTGATCTTAGAGGGAAAGCTTTCAACCTTTCACCATTGAGTATGACATCAGCCATGGGCTTGTGGTATATGGCCTTTATCATGCTGAGGTTTTATTCTTTCTATGCTTACTTTTTTGAAAGTTTTTATCATGAAAGGATGTGTATTCTGTGAAATGCTTTGCATCTATTGAGATGACCGTATGATTTTTACCGTTCTACTCGTGTGCTGTATTACATTCATTGATTTGCATATATTGAACCATCCTTGCATCTTGGGGGTGAATCCCATTTGGTTGTGGTGTATGATCTTTTTAATGTGTGGTTGTGTTCAGTTTGCTAAAATTTTGTTGAGGGTTTTTACATCTATGTTCCTTAGGGATATTGGTCTGTAATTTTCTCTTCTTAGAGTATCCATATCTGGCATTGGCCTTGGGGTAATGCTGACCTCATAGAATGATTCCGCAAGTGTACCCTCCCCTTCAGGTTTTTGAAGTCTTTGAGAAGGACTGGCATTCATTCTTTTTTGAATGTTTGGTAGAATTCAGTGAAGCTGTGTGGTCCTGGACTTTTCTTTTTTGGGAGGTTGTTTAATTTTAATTTTTTATTTTTTTATTTGAGGGAGAGAGGGAGAGTGTGTGCACATGAGCGAGTGAGGGGCAGAGAGAGAGAGAGAGAGAGAGAATCTCAAGCAGGCCCCATGCTCAGTGCAGAGCCCACTGTGGGGCTTGATCCCACAATCGTGGGATCATGACCTGAGCCAAAATTAAGAGTTAGATGCTTAACCAACGGAGCCACGAAGGCACCCCTGTTGGAAGGTTTTCGATCACTGATTCGAAGTCCTTCCAGCTTTTCTTTTGTTACTCATTTCTAGTTTCCTATTCTCATGGTCGGAAAAGAAACTTAGTATAATTTCAGTTTGTTGAGACTTGGTTTGTTGCCTGTTGTATGATCTATCCTTGTATCTGTTGGGAGGTCTTGGATATGTGAAAGCATCCTCTCTCCTCCTTGGATGATAGCCTGTCTCTGCTTTGTATCAGTGCTGGATTCCCAAGCAAACCTCAGCAATAACTCACCTTTGCTTAAGAATGGGGGCAGAGAGGTTTCCCACCGCATTCTTGATGGTAGATGGCCATTGCTAACTCCATGCAAGGGTCATGTTGTGTCAAATAAGGTGTGTTTGGATGGATGTTGCTGCAGCCCACGGGATGACAGGGAAGCCTGAATGTCAAGCTATGGGCACAAGGACTGGAGTGCTCTGTCTTTGCAGTAGAGAGCAGAAGGAAACAAAAGTCTGGGGGAAAGGCTCCAGCTGTCTCAGGCTCCCAGATGCATTACTGCTCTGTGGTCAATAGCTGTTGGAAACACACAGTGAAACCTGTACCATCCAGATGCTTTGTGCTGGAGGAAATCATTTCCTCTGAGCAGTGGGGGGGGGGGGGATACATTCTGTAAGAACCAGGAAAATGAACCCCTCTGACACCAAAAAGAAGAGTCTCTTCTTCCCGAAATGCCTCTTCAGTCCTTTCTCCTGACAGTTTTACATCATGGCGGCTGGCAAAGGAAAATATGTCTAGGGCCCACATCCACTTTCACAGAGTGGGCTGCAAAGGATGACTTTTGAGCTGAGAGGCAAGAAAATGATGATGGACACAATGCATGATGAACAAATGAGGGAGTAAAGAGTTTGGACGTGGGAAGCAAAGAAATCCAGGGCGGCAGGTTATGAAAAGCTAACTTTGGAACTCTCAATTCCTAGCGCTGCAACGATCAGCCTGCTCTGTTTTGATTGTTTGTTTGTCGGGAGATTTCTTCTCATTAAGGCCGTTGCATTTACATGATTGTCTTGTCTTTCTTATTAAACAGGGCAAAATGATTAAGAGGGAGATAAGTGTGTGTCAACAAACATGCGCATTATTATGCAAGAACCTTCTTAAAAAATGGAGAATGAAGAGAGAGCCCTTAATGGTATGCCTATCCCTTTGTATTTACAGGACGAAAATGTATATTCTTTGGGAAATAGCTATACTTTATCTCCCCTTCCAAAAACAAAACACAACACCTTTCTGTTGCAGAAGAAGCTGTTCCTCAAACTGCAATCTGTCTGCAGACATTTCACTTGACATAGACCCTAAATTGAGGTCTTAAAGCACTGAAGCTGGCCAACAATACAAAATCCAATAAATGTTTTAAAAGTCAACGGTCACAGGGCGCCTGGGTGGCTCAGTCGGTTGAGCATCCGACTTCGGCTCAGGTCATGATCTCACGGTCTGTGGGTTCGAGCCCCGCGTCGGGCTCTGTGCAGACAGCTCGGAGCCTGGAGCCTGCTTCGGATTCTGTGTCTCCCTCTTTCTCTGCCCTTCCCCCACTCATGCT